AGTGACATGGGTTAGTGGTGGCCTTGGCAGTGCTGGGGAATGGTTGGACTGGATGATCCTAAAGGTCTTTTCCAACCTGTCTGATTCTACGATTCTTTGATTCTGTATCAGTTCACTGAGACAATACTGCTGGCAAGAAGACTATTGAAGTTATACAAAAATGAGAGCATGGTGGATTATAAAGAAGTGGAATGAAGCTGATGAGGTTTATACTGCAGAAGGTAGAGATTTTTGAGATAAGGTTAATTATATTTCTAATTCATATGAAAATCAAAAAAGCAGCATTAAACCCAGATAGTTGGCATCTACTTTGAATCACTTCTGTTACTTTTTCTGCTGCTTTTGTAGTAGCACTGATGGCCTATTTTTCCCCCTAGAGTTATTTTTAGCCTTGGTCAGTCTCTGAGCCAGTCCACAGGACATAGCCACATGTGCTGGCAGCACCTAGGAAGCAGTGTGAGGGGATTCAATTCCTTAACCCAGCAGGGCTGCCAAAGCAAGCAATACAGTGCTGCACTGAACAGCAAGGATAATTGAGCACAGAAATGGACTGCCTGGGGCAGTTGTGAAATTCCATTGTTGGTGAGTTTGAAAAGCTTCAAGGCAAACATCCGTCAGGAACAGTTTAGGCAGAGTTGATCCTCCCTCAGGACAGGGACCAAATGATCTCTCAGTCATCCCAGCCCTATCTCCTAGGACTAGAATCTCTAGTTTCCACCTTCTTGCTATCACCCCTTTAATCATTTTAATGCAGTTTAGTGACATCCTGGAGACTACATCTCCAGCAAGGAAAACAATACCCTGTTCCTGTAAAACTGGTTTCGTTTAAACTAGAAGTAGACTATATAGCCAAAGAGAATTGCTGCTATCTGCTGGTATTATCTAGCTCTGAGCGGAGGCAAGCATATCATCTAAATCCCATTTCTAGCAGAGCTTATTTAACTGACCAACTCTAGTGATCTCTTTTTCTTGATTGCCTGCTGTGGGATACTGTAAATCAGCTGAGTAAGGGCTTTCTCGCTTCCATCACTTCTCATACAGCTTTGAGGTGAGAGAAGAATAGAAACTGCCGTAGGAAAGAAAGCAGAAAAAAAAAATCTTCAGTAAAAGTCTGAGCAGAAAATGGAAAACAAAACAAGACAAATTACACAAACAGGTCAAGGTCTGAAGAAAAGGGAGACATTTATTTTTCCAGAGTTTAGGTAGCAGCCATAATAATCTTTTCATGACACTCCATAGGAAGATACTACTCACAAGCTCCTTCCTACCTTTCCCATTCGAGGTTCTCCAATCAGTGCTCTGAATTCAAGGTTGTTCTGAGCATAGCTTCTAAGGTGAGCACAGATGTGATCCAGCTGTTTTCTCCAGTAACCTTATCAGAGAGAGTTAAGGAGGAGAAAAAAAATCCTAAAATTGTGCTTAATATTTCTTCTCATGTGATAGATGATTTAAAAGATCATATTTCCACTGGGACAAAACCAAAAGATTTGGATTTTTCTTCAGGAACTTCATCTGATCAAGAAAATTAGAAGCAAGCTATACCCTAAAAAAGGGTGAAATGCTATCTGTCCACAGGTTATAATTAATTCTTAGGGCACCTCTATTCACAATAAAACTATACCTTGGAATTGTCCTTGGGAATCAAAACTGGCCCCATGTGAAGGGGAATCTCACGCTATTCCACAAGATTAGAAACCAACCAACCAACCAACCCCTAATACTGCAATTAAACAGTTGTGTGTTGTTGAACTGATTTGGTTTGTGATTACTGACAGGTAACAACAGCCAAATCTGAAAACTGCAGTCATAGAAACTCAGCCTGTATAGCATTCTGGTCTGTGTAAACTTTCCCCAGATAAGTGCCTTTTAATTATATCATAAAATCACAGAATGGTTTGGGTTGGAAGGGACCTTAAAAACTGAAAACTGAAGTTGAAGTTTTCCCAGGAGAGTAAAACTAAAATCTCTAAAAATTGCAAACTTCTTAATGACAGCAGTCAAGTGATCCCATGAAGCACTAACTGACCAAACCAGGGACTGTGAAACAAAGTTGTCTGCAGTACTGATACAGGAGTCTGTGCATGGACAGACTCTGCAACGAGTGATGTAGATATACTGATGCCTTTGCAGGGCCAGAAGATAGGGGCCTACAAGAGCTCTTAGGGTTTCTACCAACCCTGGGTTTTGTAACCTTGCTTAAGAATCCCTTTCTCTAGTTTACTTCCCTTTGCTTCCAAAACTTCCACAGTTTATTCCATAACAGGACCCCAGACAAGTTCTTCACATACACAAGCCTCATCATATTTTTCAATGCTATGATCTATTGCTAGTGTAGCTGTTGATGGAGATCAGTGACTGAATTCTAATGCATTGCATTTACAAGTGACTGGTGGAAAGACAGGCTTGTAAAGATGTAAATCAGTGTCCTACTGATGGCATTTTCCAAGATTATAAAATTTTCAAGAAAAAGCAAGGTCACACATTGCATCTTTGTTTAGAAAACATAAAATCAAAACTCCTAACCTTTTCCAGGACTAATAGCTGTCAGGAGAGGTTTATGATCACTCATCTTTTCCAGTTTTTCTTTTTGTGCAATCAGCTCAAGCTCCTTCTTTTCCAACAGTTTGCTAGATGGGTAAAAAAGTCCAATGGTTTGGGTTCCTTTATCTTCTCTTTCTTTTAGTTCTGCCCTTGATTTGGGCAAGGAAATAGGAAAAGGCTGCCAGGCAACTTGAGCTTGAAATCGTTTAGACTGTAGGGGGTGGAAGGGAAGGAAAAGTGTGTATAATATAATCAGATAGACTGAAATGGCTTACAAGCAGAAATTGCCTAGACCAGTACACAAAATTGTCCAGGAATGAAAAAGCTAGCAGGAAGGATCATTAACAAGTCTTGATTTTAATTACCAGTCTGTAACAATGATGCAACTTATCACAAATATTCTCCGCAATTGCCAGCAGTATGTATGCTTTTGCAGGACAAAAGCTGGCCTTGGCTAAGTATTATGTTCTTCTTAAAAGCAGAGTTTTAAAAACAGATTACATATGCATGAAAGAATACCTTGTATCAGCAGGACACAAATAATTTACAGGTAATAAGATAAAAATACTTAGAGATAAGACTTTTGAAAAGTTGGTTGTTTCTCACTTTGCTGTTTAGAATAAGGCTGGATTAAGGCCTTTGGCTAAGGCTACTTTTTGGCAGAAAGCAGTTCTCAATATAAACATATCCTTGGTTTTGCCCTCAGCATGTTCCCAGGCCATAGCCTTGTCTCAAAGAGGAAGTGAATGGAGTTGTGCCAATCTCCACCCACAGTGGACTAGGCTTTTAGCTGTCTTCAAACCTGGCTTTGTAATACTGTGTCTTACCTCAGAAACCACCAGTGAGTCCCCAGCATCCATGAGACTACCACTGGGAGAACCCACCCTTGATGGGGGCTCTATGTAAACACCACAGGATCCGCAGAAGTGAGCGTATGGATGATTGTTTGTACCACACTTAAAACAAGAAAAGTAGGATGGAGGAGGTCCAGGCTGGAAAGTTCAATGAAACACTTGTCACTACAGAAACATCAGATGCATGGTTCAGGGATGATAAAAGCAGTGGTATAAATTAAGAGGAAGTAAAGCAGCACTACCTAAAGCTATTAGGTAAGTAATATTAACCAGGATAACAGGTTGCTAACACGCTGGTAGATGCAAGACAGTAACTCCTCAGGTATCTCAGCACTCTGCTATGGAGGCAAATGTTTTTCAGACAGATCTATCATTATGGTATGTTATTTTAACATAAAGTTTCAAAAATACCTATTCTCTTTGGCAAAGCCCTGTAATTACTGATGCAGTCTGGTGCTCTGATGCTGAATATTGACTGCTATTCTTTCCAGTTAAATTCTACCACCACCACCCCTGGAGTCCCCACAGTACAGCAGAGGACCAGTGGTTATGTAGGCAGAGGGGAATGTTTCAACTTCTATGCAGACTCAGCTCACAGAGAAAAAGAGTAGTTTTGGGAGAACTTGCTCTAGATCAGCCTATACTCTGACCTTTTGTTGGACCAGTTACTTTGCCATAACATGCAGCTATTGCCTATCAAGTGACCTGATGCTTATTGACCCATGGTGATTTGACTAAACCCTTCAGTCGCTGACTGATGTGGGGTCAGAATGTCATCTAAGCCTTTCATTTTTCTTTACATAATCCTACGTGCTCTCAGTATTTTGGTAGTAATATGCTGTGTACTAACTGACAGAGTTTTGCAAAGAGAAGTTTGAAATTGTTGAGTAGAAACAGATTTGTCGACACAAACACGGATAGCACATGCCTTGGCTCCACACCAGTCACAGAAACGGGCATCACTCTGGTTAACGCGATGGCATTTTGAGCATGAAACTGTCTTGCTTTGCTGGCTGTGGTATGGTGGGGGGGTGCCTCCAAACATGGGCTAATTAAAACAAAACAAGAATTAGGGAGAAAATACTTCTTATGAAAGAAGGTCACAAGCCAAATAAGGGGAAAGAGCAAGCTACTTTGATAACATTAAGTAATATTCAGCCTAAAAGAATTATTTCATAGAAGCATCACAGAATCCCAGACTGGTTTGGGTTGAAAGCGACTTTACAGCTCATCCCCTGCCACAGGCAGGGACACCTTCCACTAGAGCAGGTTGCTCAACTTAGAATAAGCATCAGGCTGACTTGGATCTGACCTGTATTTTTTTTTCATTACAAAACCACAGTAAAATGTGGCATTAATTAATTTTGAAATATTTTCAGCAGAACTAGGGTGGAAAAAAAATCCTTATCACTGGTGTCCTTTTACAAGTATGTACTAATATGGCCCTTAAGATGGAGGTTTCCCTGTTGATAAACACAAAACACAATCCCAAACACAACTTCTTTGCACCTTTCTTTGTAGTAGTGTGGCAGTGAGAGTGTGTTCAGACAATGAGTTTTCTCTCACTTTGGGATTTGCTACCTAAGGCAGGGGTTTTTTTGCACTTTCTTACCTCATACAAGTTACACATTACCTGGCTTCTACTACAATTAACTTACACGGGTATGCAAAAGGAAAGAGATTTTTCAGCTGAAACTTCTAGAGACTGAGTATAGATCCTAGTTAGGACAAAGGGGTCTTAAAAATGTTTTGTTAGGTTTTGCCTCAGGGCTTATGCAGTTTATCTTCTCTGCAAATCAGGAATATGGATAAGGAACAGATCTCATGAAAATTATTGTGATTACAGACACCACAACAGCAAATAAGCAAACAGGCAATAGCCCTATTTTCATCTGCAATTTCAATGATGTAATTTTGGGATTCGCTTGGAAGGTAAAATTTACAGAAGCACAAATCTAAATATGCTCTAAATCTAAATTATTTAATAGCCATTAGTAGTAACATCAGAATTGTTACTAATTATTAATTATTCAGGAATCACTATTGGTTATCACTAATTAACCATTATTAGTAGTAAAATTTCTGATTACTATCAATAGTTCTTTGTAAGTACTTAACTTTCTCCCTTAGCTACTACAGGTCTCATCATTCAAGGCATATGTCTAGCTACACATGCAGCTACATCTTAATATCTACAAGCAATGAAGCACTAAGCAGATATCTATTTTAGGTAAGTACAACTTCCTACTGAAATTCACTGTGAAATAACACCTCAGTGGCTGTACAAGAGACCTTTGTCTCTAGCTACTGACAGTTTTAGAACTCAGGATGTTTGTGTTATAAATCAGAAGATTTTTAATTTGCAGATCATTCTCTCATTTCTGTATTCATCACAACCTGAAGAAGTTAAATGTATCATAAGGCTTTCATGTAAGGCTTTTGAGAACCAAGTGAGCAAACTAAATGGGGAGTTGAAACTGGCAGCTGTTTTAGGGGGGACATTTATTGTTGCTTTTCTCACCTCTGTGCAGAGTCACAGCCAAATACAAGCATAGTAGCTGTATGTATGCAGAGGAAGCAGCAATGAAGGTAAGAAAAGTAAGGTAAAAGAATATTTTATTTTCACAAATTAACAGCAATCAATGAGAATGGTCTTCCTGATGTAGACAATCAAGTTTTGTATTGTAATTGAAAATAATATGAACACAAGCATGAACTCCTTAGAGCCAAGACTACCTATTTTCTAAGAGTCGTCTGAGCTTGCCCAATGGCATACACAATCCTGACTTGCACAGGAGGAACTCAAAGGTACACTTATGTTTAGCTGAACATTTGTGATGGAGCATCTGTGGGAGCACTGGGCTTGAATATCCCATGGGGGAGGGAATCTCTGTTTTTGTAACATAGGGACACAGGGATATGGCTTCAGTTTTCCAAAGAAAGAGAATGTTGTGCTTTGATTTGATTAACCCCAGTGTGATTGATGGAAGAAGCCTTACCATCTGTATTTCAGGCAGCTTGCTTTCACAAGTCACACAGTGTTTATGGTGAAGAGGATTTCCTGTGCCACACGCCTGACAAATTACTTTGCCCTTTTAAATAGAGAAAGAATACATTTCACATACTATTTGAAAACTGTGAACCACGCTAATAAGAAGAGGACTTGATCCTACAGAGTGCTGTAGTTATTCAGCCCTGCAGATAGAAGAGATCCTTAAGGTCTGTGCTGTGAGCTTCAGGTTTTAGTTAGGCAATACTGTCTGCTCATCACACATCTATGAGTCCTGGTGACAATTTATTTTAAATTATGGCACAGTCCCCTCAGGAGATCCAGCATCCATACCTCTAGATCTCTGTATATACTAGTGAACATTTGTGATGGAGCATCTGTGGGAGCACTGGGCTTGAATATCCCATGGGGGAGGGAATCTCTGTTTTTGTAACATAGGGACACAGGGATATGGCTTCAGTTTTCCAAAGAAAGAGAATGTTGTGCTTTGATTTGATTAACCCCAGTGTGATTGATGGAAGAAGCCTTACCATCTGTATTTCAGGCAGCTTGCTTTCACAAGTCACACAGTGTTTATGGTGAAGAGGATTTCCTGTGCCACACGCCTGACAAATTACTTTGCCCTTTTAAATAGAGAAAGAATACATTTCACATACTATTTGAAAACTGTGAACCACGCTAATAAGAAGAGGACTTGATCCTACAGAGTGCTGTAGTTATTCAGCCCTGCAGATAGAAGAGATCCTTAAGGTCTGTGCTGTGAGCTTCAGGTTTTAGTTAGGCAATACTGTCTGCTCATCACACATCTATGAGTCCTGGTGACAATTTATTTTAAATTATGGCACAGTCCCCTCAGGAGATCCAGCATCCATACCTCTAGATCTCTGTATATACTAGTGTCAGTTTGCTTAGTCACTGCATTCGCATAAATCAGAAAGTCCAGTATCTGCAAGGAAAATTATTGTTTTCCCCTTGAGGGTGCCCTAGCACAGTCACTATTAACAGCGAGTTTCCAGCAGAGCTGAAAATAATGAGTCTGCTGTTTTGACTGTTGCCACCAACAGTTCGGATCTGCCTTTGCACCTACATCAAGGCTGCCATAAAACATCGTATCTGGGGCAATGTCTATAATCTACCAATTGTGGACATGCAGTATCAGTTCTCTCCTCCTCACACTCTTTTCCCTGACTGGAGGGGTTCAGGAAGACCCCTATGTGCCCTTGGGCAGGGAGTGTCTTGTAGGGCACATTTTGTTTAGTTAAGCCCACCAGCACTTTTGGATCACTAAGTCTGTGCTTTAACAGTTTGGGCATCTACCCACTGCCCCAGTCTTGCCAGCTCATCTGTGCTAAGCACTTACAATCAAATAAGGTAATAACTTAAAATACTTAGTAATACTAAAGCCAGAAATTATAGAATCATGGAATCTCTCTTTACTGAACCCAAGTGCGCATGTTCCTGTCATTCACGCTGCTACATCATGTGCTCTTCAATACACCTTTCTGAGCTTTATGGGGTTTACCTTTAATCCTACTAACTCTTAAATTTGTCATAATGAAATTATACAAAACCAAGCTGGCTCAAAATAGTTGTAATGAAGTCATCTGTTAGAAAAATGCATGCCAGGAGGTAAACTGCTCTTTTGTTAGATTTATTCTTAATTACCTTTATGCAGATGTTGGTTTGGGGCTGCAGCTGTGGAGCTATCGGCGACTCACATACAATGCAAGAGGGTGTATTCATTGGCACAAGATGTCTGCATTCAAGACATGGTGCCATCTGAAGAAAAAGCCACATCACAGCATGTCATAAAGGTTATCATCAGTATTTTCCTGGTTAAAGTTTACATCAGCAGCAAAGTCACTGGAAACATAGCAACTGACAGCCACAGATGCTGATACGGATAAAAGGCTATTGAGAAAATATGAAGACAACTGTAAAGAGTGACTTTACTGAAAACTAAAAATATGCCAGAAAGGTACTAAGTTAATTTTCAGTAAAATTAAATAGCTACTGTAAAATGTAGTAGTTGAAATCATCCTAATTATGAACCTAATCTAAAGAGGTGGTGAATATTCTCAGTCATCACTCGAAACTACAGCATTGCTCCAGACATCTTTCTGATGATACAGGCAAAACAATTACATCCCTGACTTGTTACATCAGGTTATTATCTCTTGGGAATTGCTTAGAGAAGACAGTTACAGGCTTCACTAAAAACCTTCTGTTCTTACATATATGCCCACACATGCCACCATTTAAGGTTTCAGGCATATTAGATGGATCTTCTACAGCTACAACATAAGCACTAGTTACTAACTACCTGCACTAGTTAGCACTGCGATAAAATACATATGCAGGTCCTGAAGATGCAGTGGTCGTTCTTGCAGGATGAGGAGGAACCCAAATTTGGTAATGTTTCCTGGCACTGACAAATAAAACAATTTACTTTTTCATTGTTTCCCTTTTCAAAATATATGGCACTTGAAGGAATCTATGGTTAATTTTGCCCATTGTTTAAGAACTACATCAGGTCCACTGCTAAAGGTATTGAACAAAATAGATTCCCAGACTGGTTTGGGTTGGAAGAGACCTTAAAGCTCATCCAGTTCCAACCCCTGCCATGGGCAGGGACACCTTCCACTAGAGCAGGTTGTTCCAAGCCCCTGTGTCCAACCTGGCCTTGAACACTGCCAGGGATGGGGCAGCCACAGCTTCTCTGGGCACCCTGTGCCAGGGCCTCAGCACCCTCCCAGGGAAGAACTTCTTCCTAATGTCTCATCTCAATCTCCCCTCTGTCAGGTTAAAGCCATTCCCCCTTGTCCTGTCATTACAAGCGCCTGTCCAAAGCCCCTCTCCAGATTTCTTGTTGGCCCCTTTATGCACTGGAAGCTGCTCTAAGGTTCTCCCCTTAAGGAGCCTTCTCTTCTCCAGGCTGAACCAGCCCAGCTCTCTCAGCCTGTCTCCAGAGCAGAGCTGCTCCAGCCCTCGGAGCATCTCCGTGGCCTTCTCTGGACTCACTTCAACAGCTCCACATTCCTCTGGTGTTGGGACTATGATAGGGTGACTTATGGTTTTGCCAGCATTGCATGTGTAATTTGCTGAAGAATTTGTCTTCTCCAAAGATAATTTCTTGATCGTTAGGATGTTTTGCTGACCTGTGCTCCTTCAGGGGGTGGATAGCAACGTACTGTCACAGGTGGGACAGGACATCCACATTCCTGACAGAAGTGAGCCAATGGGTCAGACAGGCGAGGTGCAGAACAGCATGCACATCTGAAAATAAGAGCAAACTGGCTGAGCTTGTTTTGGTATTGTACTGCTGCATAATAATGAATAATCTGGAACTTGTTGTGACAGGACTTAGGTCACTGATTTCTCAGTTGTGGTTTCCAGGCTGTGGTGTCCATCAGACTATGCTCCAGCATCCATGACATGAGGTTTTGAACACCTTTGCAAGGTAGAAAGCTCTCTGGCTCCTATGGAGTTTCATACTTTCTTCCTCACCATGTGAAGTAAAGTCTCCTGACATACAATCTGTATCAGGCCTCATTGCTGCATCATGGGGAAACACTGATGTAGATCACAGAACTCTTTCAGTACTGATAAGCATTAATGTTCTGTGAGACTATTCCCATGAGCAGTTTTTACCTACAGCAGTGAAGGCTGTACTCCAATTTGAAAAGACAGCTTTCCCTCTGATCCTACAGGTGTTAGGAATTTTCTTTTAAAAGATGATAAGATAGTTGATAACTGTCTATGGTGAAATGCAAATAAAACTACATGCAAAAGAAAGAATTTTCAAAGCCCTACCTAGATCATATTATCCAATCATGAGCCAGAGTCTGTCTTTGCTTCTTTATTTTTATAGAGCCCCACAGTATTATCAACTTAGTTGCAAAAGGCAGTTGCTCAGTTACTTTCCAAGGACGAATATGTTAAAAGGAGAAGTCACTTACTTGAGGAAATCTGTCTCCCTCTGGATCCTTGACAGCTGCGTGCTTGCTAAGCTTTTCCTGCTAGTCACTGCAGGAGAACTAGCAAACTGAAATAAAAGTTATTCTTTAGCCTGAGTAAGCAAATATTTGCAAAATGTATATAAGAGTAGCAAAAATCAGCTAAAGATGTTATCTGAGACAAACTGCACTGAAATGCATTGCTTTAAGGAGTATCTACTACACTTGATTTCCCATTAGCTGCACTAAAGATCCACAGCTTCTTCCAATAAAAATAAATCACTACTTACTTCCAAGACACCTTTACTGAACATTAAATATCAACTTGCCAACATATAGCAATAAGTATTTGCTAATTGCAGATTCAGTAACGCATTAGGAGAAAATTAGTAGGAATGCAGGTATTGTTAATTTGTTTTGCCTGGTTTTGTCCTTACTGATAATTGTTTTGCTTTGGGCCTTCCTAGCATGTCATTACCAGCAAATTTAAATGAGTACTGTATAGTATAGCCCAAGGCATTAATTTCTGAGAGATTATATGAGTATGATCACACATCTTCACATCTGTATTGTTTTGGAGCTCAGTTCTGATGACAGCCTTTTACAGTTTTCCTCAACACCTATTTGCTTACCTGTAGTGACTCTATTGGTGGTGCTGAGACAGATTCCTCGCTGTACTCTGCTGTTTCCAAATGGCTGGCAAAGAGCTGTGGTCCTTGCAGGGACCTGTGAGTAGTCTTCGTTTCTGTTTCCAAGTCTAAAATTACAATAGTGTTATTCCACTGTCATTAACTTCATGCACTTACCATATATCTTAACATGAATACTACATGCCCTTGTTTTAAATTCCAATAGCTAAGCATATTTTAAAATGCATTTGACATCCAGATTTCGGGTTCAAATAAACTGCATGGAATTACAGGCTATTAATCTAGAAGAAATCTCATTCGTCTCTGAAAGAGCTTACTTTTATATTTTTCTCTCTTTACAGTTGTCTTCCTGCATGCTCAAAAAAACCTCAGCTCCTAAGAGAAATTAATGAGTAAACATTAATACAACTCCCTGCTCTTAAACAAGTCCCATTGCTGTTACCACGGAACAGGCTTTATCTATAGAGAAAATCTGGGTCAAGCTTTCATTTCTGTTTTGTGTATCTATTTTGGAATCTCACTGCAAGCAACTCTCAATAAAGAACTCTGTAAAGGATTTGCAATCCCATCAATTTAACAGCATTTTCTGGCACAAAGGGAAATATTGACTGGGCCTCATCATGTTGCTGAGAAATGAATGACAATTAAGTATGGCTTTAGGAGGTAATGTGAAATGTATGGAAGGTAATCTTTGTTCTCTATTTGCAGTGTTGAGCAATCTAAATTGGAATTCCCAGAAGATGTTGTGTCTTCTGAGATGGTTTTAAAAATACCCATATTTTACCAGTGATATAAGAGGAAAACTTTACACTACTTTCAGCTAAGACAGAAGTCTATTTCAGCTTTATGAATACTACACCTTGAAAATCTTGAGATGCTTCACTCCAGGCAGGCTTGATTTCCACATTGACTCCATTCTTCTTTGGTTTTGTAATACATATACCACGTTTCCTCTCCTAAAAAGTAATTCCATTTGAATTCTAAATGAAACTTTTGGTTTTGCCCTAATCACCTCTGCTATATTTATTTGTTATGATTTTCAAAGTACATGGTTAGGGTATTTATTTTGATGCAAGCATTTGAAAAGCTAAAATTCTAAATGTATTTTTTAAATATTTGACCTGAATTGGTCATGAAAGACCAGTAAAAAAAAGAAAAAAACCAAACATGTTCCCTTGAAATTTAAACATTACAAAAAGGACCAATGCAGCAAAGATAGGCAAACAGAGAAAATAAAATGTATTAGAAGTATAGGCAGTCAAGGTTTAATCTCTAAGTTGTATCATACATACAACATTTTATATTCACATAAGGGGTTACAGTTTCTAAATCTTACCTGAGTGGTGCTATCTTTTAGGAGATCCTTGTCATCCTCTTCAACAGTGAAAAGGGCATTTGGCTGCTTGTACTCTACCAGAAACACCTTTGTTACAACTGTACTCTCCCTGCAGTCCCTGAAAATCAATTTTCACGAAGCTATAGACATTCCACAAACCCATGTGCAGCAACAAGTGAATCACTGATGAACATGGCTCATTTGCTGGAACAGCCCTTCCAAGGTTGCAAGTCATTATTCAGTTGGTAAGTATAATCCTGGGCAACACTCTCAGGAGCTACTCCTTTGTTTTGTTTTAAGTTTAGAATGTGCATGAAAAGAAGTTATCAATAAAACATACTGATATTCTAATCCCTCAACATCTTTTACAAGTCAAACTCTTGATATTCTTGTGTCTGCTTTCTGCAGTGATAGTGTTTGCCAGTGTTGCAGAAAATAGAGGAGAGCAAGACTTTTTTTCCCATTTGCAATACCTGCAATGACAGGACAAGGGGGAATGGCTTTAACCTGACAGAGGGGAGATTGAGATGAGACATTAGGAAGAAATTCTTCCCTGTGAGGGGGCTGAGCCCCGGGCACAGGGTGCCCAGAGAAGCCGTGGCTGCCCCATCCCTGGCAGTGTTCAAGGCCAGGTTGGACACAGGGGCTTGGAGCAACCTGCTCTAGTGGAAGGTGTCCCTGCCCCATGGCAGGAGATTGGAACTGGATGAGCTTTAGGGTCCCTTCCAAACATGTTTCTATGATAATCCAACCGCACAAACACCTAATGAATAAAGTGAATGAGAAAGTGAAGTCAATGCAACCCATGAAGATCACTTTGACGGCAGACTGGTTGGGGAAAGGGGTGTTTGTGAGGTATGGAGTGCTTTAGACAACACGGATCCAGGCCATGTTAGGATGTCTGTCCCTTGCCAAAATACAACTAAATAAAACAGGACACGTACTTTGTAACTGCCAGTGCTTTAACCATTATTTTCCCAGCTGGTAACATGATAGGACCCTTATACTTAAAAGTGTTTTGCTCTCCACAGCCAGGTTTTCTAAAGAGTTCTGGCTTACTTCCATCTAAAGTGTAATAAATAGAGACCTCAGGTGTATCTGAAAGAGACAGAGAAAGTGGTAAGTCAAACTGTATTCAACCTGTGAAAAACGAGCTCTACACTTCAAAGTACTCACTTCTGTGAATTTTCTCACATAACAAAATAAATGAGTTCCATAAATGTCTGAATGTTTGGGACCAAAACTGTTCATCCCATGAAAAACGAGTTACTCTTCACAAAGTAGCTGTGCAATGGCTTTGCATGAAGACATTGCAACAACATGTCTGTTCTAATGACAGAAAAGATACTTGCTCCCATGATAGAAGGTGACATTTCAAAAATTGTAAGGAAAACCTTTGAGGTGAGCCCGTCACGTGATACTTTCACACATTATTATTGCAGTCAAAGTGAAATGCAGCAGCCTAAGAAGCAATTAAGACTGCTAACATATATGAAATAACTCATATGTCAATAATAGTTTGAATACATAAAATTAAGTTTGAGTATATTTGGTGTATCAAAACATGTTGGTTAATTTCGTAAGTTCATTAATGAGACGCTCCCTCGTAAAAATCATCCTTAAACACAAACAAAAGTATAGAGGCTAAAAGTTTCAAATGAACACAGAAGTTTTTACCTAGAATCAGAGCTTTTATTCATACCTGATTTTATTTCTACAAGAGTATTTGTGTCTATTTCATGTTTAGCCTTCCCTGGAAGAGGGATTCGAAGTGGTATGACCTGAGGAACTGAGACAGAGCCAGCCGTCATTTTTCTCCACAGTGATCTTTAAGAAGAAAAACAAAAAGGCAGACAATAATTTTTCTAACCAGAAGAATGTGTTGAGTCATACTTTGAATTTGATTCCTGTCTTCATTTTTTTCTCTTAAAAGAGAGAACACTAGATTCTTTAAACTGTTATTTCTCATTAATACGTGCATGATCTTCACACCAAAAAGGAGCAAGGTCCTAATGACCTTCTCAATTCCAATTTATCCTCCTGTTTTAGAACTGTGAGCAAAGCTTGAGATGAGCACTGTTGCTTTCATGTCACTTTAACCTTCCTTACCCAAGTCTGATTTCTGTGTTCCAGTGAAACAGCTTTAGCATCATACATCAACAACACATGATAGGCCTGATTAACAGGGAAGTATCTCCACCCTAATGACAGATTGGAGCCAGCCTCTTGTTTCATCGCAGCCATTTGAATATACACAAGATGTCTTGAAAAGGGCTAAAGCAAGACAGCTACTGCTTAAGCTTATCTCAGCTATTGTGTGCATTAAGAATATACCCATAAAACAGGTGCCAAACGTGATTTATCATAATTTACATAGCCATTATCATGTCACACAATTGAAGAATGAAAAATTGCATTTGGACACGATAACATTTTACAATACAAAAAGATGTACTCTAGATCTTGGGAATTTATACTCAGGGCCAGGAAACGTGTCTACACTAGAAGCATTTGTTCTGTAACCAACACTTTAATCCACCAGAAACATCTCTTAAGCTACTCATCAGTGCAGACAGTAATGATTCAGCACAGGAGGAGTTTGTTAGTCCATGCTCTGACTGGGGCTATGCTGAGGTAAGCCACAGCGCTGCCTGTGGGTGCCCATCTCCTTGGCTGGCTGGCCTGAAACAGCGGTTAAGGACTGTGGCAGTTCTCGGCCAAACTCTCTTGGGCTGCACACAGTGGCAGGGGAGACACAACGATGGGTGGATCAGACCTTTACCTGATGCAAAGGGGCAGAGAGTATCTTTCCTCAAGGACCCGCCTGCTCTTGGCACACCTGGACCAAAAGCAAGTACCTCATTTCAGCCTTCTGGGAGCCCTGCTGGTGGGACACAATGATCCTGCCACCATCCGCAGCATGCTCCACCCCTGCCTGCTGGGTCAGGCCTTGCTTCCTGTACCCCACGCAGCCCACCCCACCTTGCCCCACTCCATCCCTGCAGTACAGCCCCTCACCAACCCGCTCGATCCCGCCCCACAGCCCTGCCCACGCCACTTGGCCCTTGCTAC